GGTGAGTGAAATTGTAAAGAGCATGTTTGAGGGAGGTCATGATGTAAATTTTTTTAATATACTTGGTAAATGTTTAAAGACAAATTGTATTTCATTTGTGAGGAGTGAAGTGAAAAACGTAAGCTCTTTTAAAGGCAAGCACACGCTTCCCCTTCCCACTTCCTCCCCCCCCCCCCCCCCCCCCCCCCCCCCCCCCCCCCCCCCAGCTGATGTGAGTATACTGGTGACCCAGCTGATACAACCAGCCACCGCTGGTGCAGCATCAGTAAGAAGCATCATCTTCTGCAGCTGTATCAGACTGGCTTTTTGTCACTTGCTCTGAACAAGGACGTAGCAATTGATGGTGACAGGAAAAAAGGTTAAAACAATCTCCAAACTGACATGGCCACTTGAAACCCCAGTGCCCCGTGTCAGGTTTGGGATTACTTCTCAGAAAGTATAGTGTTGTTGTTGTTGTTGTGAAGTGCTGTCGAGTCAGTTCCGACTTATCACGACCCTGTATAGAGTTTCCAAGGAGCGGCTGGTGAGTTTGAACCACCAACCTTGTGATTCAAACCGACATTGCAGTTCAGTGCTTATCCTCCAACCACACCAGGACTTCCGTAGTTAGTGTTACATAAGACGTTGTTGTTGTTGTGAAGTGCCATCAAGTCGGTTGTGACCCCATACGGGATTTCCGAGGCTGTAAATATTTTGGGAGCAGAAAGCCTCATCTTTCTCCTGTGGAGCGGCTGGTAGTTTCAAACTGCTGACTTTAAAGTTCCCAGCCCAATTCATAACCACTACGCTACGTAGCAGCACTCTTATCTTCCACTCAGTTAGGGTGTGTTCTCAGGCAATATATTGCAACATCCGAAATATAGTTCTTTCTTTCTCTCTGTTTTCGAGACATATTTATTGAGCTGTGTTTCACATACCATAAAATTCACCCACTTAAAAAGTATAAAGTTCAGTGACTGTAATCCATTCACAGAGCTGTACATCTATTACCACAGTCTAGTTTTATGATATATTCAGCAACCCCCCCCCACACACAAAGAGAAATCCTTTTTATTTATTAAATGTTTTATTGTGAATTATATGATAAGTTTACATGAGAGAACTTTAATT